CGGATTACTTTGGGCATCCAGGTATTCGCTGGGTCGTTCCAGATGCCTGGCGTCAAAGGCAAATGGCTCATTCCCAGGCTCCGGCCTGGCAACTTCTGTACGTAGTAGAGGGCCGTGCTGGTCAATCGGCGTTTGTCGGCAAGAAAACGGCGCTGGACTTAATTTTCAGATGCCGCTGCCTAGCACCCTAGAAGGTCGAGGATCTCGGGACGGAGGGCGTATAGCGTTCTTGGCTTCTTGATGCCTTGGTGCCTTGGTGCTCTGATTTATGCCTAGAAGCACCACACAGCAAGCGTTCGGCCTCAGTCGCTAGAGTCACTACTCAATAGTGGCCTAGCCGATTGGATGCTTATCCTCAGGCAAGAAAGATACACAACTTACAAAGTGGTCGACCTGCCCTTATTCGTACGGCATGATAGGCAAGGTAAGGAAGGAACGTTGTACAGCCCGAGGTCTCGTCTGGTTCGAGGCTTGCTGGAACCGGGCAGAAGCTCGGAGGCCGGGGCATCATCGTTGCATCTTGGTCCGCATCCCGCTGCAATTCAACTACACTTGCAGTCCTGCACCATCTTGCTTCTTCTCTACGCCCACAGATAGCCGTGCTCGTTCTTGACAGGCGAGCGCTCTGTTTGGACCCGACGTGTGCTTGGATCTGAAACTTGGCACCAATAGCAAACCATCCTTCCCCTCTTTTCTCTGCATCATGGGCCTCGTCTCACAGCAATTATCCTAGAGAGCATGCCTACATAGTACATCGGCCACCAATCTCGCAACTCGGCTGTGCGGGGCCCGGAGCCGGCCCCGACGACACATCCAACACTTGTTTCTGCGTCTGGACGGGGAACACTGGGGTTGCAATTGGAATGGTGTTCCTTACCACGTCGTTACCAGCAGTATCCATTCATCTCGCAACCCACCCGCCCAATCCCTGGCCACCTCTCGCATCTCATCTCATCCCACATCAGAAGCAGCCACAAGAAGTGTACCGAGGGGAACAAGCACACAAGCTCATGCTATCCCAAAGCTCAAAACTCAGAGCTCTGAGAAATCTCCCGTGAGGCACGATGAACGCTTCCGTATTGGCACCCCGAAATCGACGCGTTTCTTCACGCTGCATCCTTGACTTAGCCAGCTTACTATGTACACCACCTGCCGGAAGGTGGAGCTGGAGCCGGAGCCGGAGCCAGACGCTGAGCCCTCAGCCCTGACACCGTGAGTCCCAACCAGCGACTGGCTTCTTCAACATGGACAAACAGCACTAGTCCTTGTCGGTGGATACGATTCTGCCATGTTCCCAGGTTGTGTCTCCCACCGATCTGTCCCAACACAACTCCACGTGAAAAGGGGCAAATTTAGAATTCAATGTATCCGTACGTCCTTCCCACACTGTCAGGGTGAGAGCGGGAACGGGAGTAGAAGGCGCTAGCCCAGCTAATTAGCCCGATCACTTTCACCCCAAGACCTTCGTAATTCGGCCGATTAGGTATATCTCTCCCTGAAGCCGATGCTGGTACTAGAAGCACTCACTCCCTAAGTCCCTCATAGTCGCCAAGGGGGGGCAGCGACTGCAAGCCTGAGAAGGAGCCCGAGACAAGACCAACCTAACCTACCATGTCTGACCTCACCGACGGCCTTCACGGTTACTCACACGGACTCATTCATTATTCAAAGCCCGATGTCCGCGACACAATGTTGCTTCTCGGCCGTTCATGATATGCAAAAATTGGACCACCACCGGCCATCGGCCGTCGGCGACATAATTCTGACTTGAGCCGACCAATCACTCACACAAGCGACGGAGAGGCCAAACAAGGCCGCCAATCGCCTCGGTTCCCGACCTACCGGAGGTGTGCCTAGAATGCCGAACCGGCACTATGTCCTCCAAGTTCATTCCTGTCACTAATGACGGCACCAGCTGTTGGAGCTTGAGCTCCACCCCAGTCTCCAGGGTTGCTTTTCATCTCCAGACCCCAAACGGCGCCTACTCCACTCTCCAATTCAAACCCCTACCACGATCAAGAGTACTGGAGGCTAAGCAGCGACCTCAGTTGCGACTATACTACCTCAATTTGGTCATTCCAATCTCACTCAAGGGTCAGGCAGGCAGCGTTCGCAGCCGCCGCCAGGTGAACGAGGCTGGGGTTCTTGGCTCAGCCCCGAACAGATGATGAAGAAGAAGTACGGATAGATATTCAGAGCTTCTGCTTAATCACAGTTTAAAAACAATCTTATTCTTGCCCGACAATCGACTGACTTGCCAGTTGGCAATTGTGTCTGCGGCGGAATCTCCGCACCCCACGCCCCACGAGTCTTATTCTTGATCCTTGGACAAGTCATTTCCCCTTCACTTTGCTTTCGATCTTTACCCTTGGATTACCACATTAGTATCCTTGAGCGGACGTGACGCATTATCACACTGAGGTTGACTGGTGTCTGGGGTGTGGTTTGCCTGCCCGCCTTGTGTACGAGTGGCCTCATTCTGTATCGTTATTATTGTCCACAGTCTTCCGTCTAGTGGTGTGATAGCCTGATGAGCCTGAAAAGGGCCCGAGCACGGTTGTAGTTGCTTGACCGCTCGCCTTGTCGTCTGTCCTTGGTCCGCCTCACGTGGTGAGGCCCTTTTGAACAGATGGGACAACAAAGCGAATTCTAGCAGCATCCGGTGCACGGATGTGGTTGAAAAGACGAGAGAGGCAATAAGGCCTCAGGCGGACACGGTGTTTCCGCACTCCGCGGGCCTCCGCGAAGCGATCGCAACAACAGCGGTTCGGCGATAATGCTTTGTCGTGTCCGAGCAGCCGTTTGTTCGACCCTAGACTGATTCAGTCAAACGCCTCAGTCAGACGAATGCTCAACCCTCGCATCCGATATCGACATCAACATGTCATGGCGCCTTTCTTGCCATGGTCTTTTTCACGCGTTCCAATTTCCCCCTCTTTCTCGCAAGAGACCAGGGGTTCTGAACGATGAGGGGGCCGAGGGTCGAGGGTCGAGGATCGAGGGTCGAGGACTGGAACCCACAAGTGATCAACAAGAGACGGACGGAAAAAGCATGAGAGCGAAGACACCCCATGCTCCCCTCTCATCCCATCCCACTGGGCCACCCACGCCCACTTCACCGGCCTCACATTCTTCTTGGCCGTCTCTCATGCGCCCGCCCGCCCGCTGAGCTCCCCGCTCCCCGTTAGCAAGCTCCCCGCCGACAGCGTCTTGTAGCCTCGTCGAAGGCCTCACGTCCCCGACCCCGCTCATGGCGCCTTGTCTCTTTGTGTCGCATTCGTTCCCCGAGAACGCTTGGCCTGGTGGTCCTGTCGCAATGATGGGTATGTCGACGTTTCCGATGAGTCCCGCCCGGCAGGGCACCCAGCCAACCTGATCACGACTCGCGGAGGCACGTACGCAACGCCCAAGATTTCCATCTCCTACGAATACTTTGTACACCATACGATGCATACGGATACCATGACTCCCATCCCAACGCCTGTCCTTGGCCCCTCCTCTCATGGCGGCCCTATCCTGGTACGCCAAGGTAGCGCAGCAGCTCCAACACTTTGCAAGTCACGTCCAGATGGAGCTAGACCCAGATGGACCAAGCTTTCTCCGATTCGGAACTCTTGGAGATGTTGGAAATATCATGGCTCAGGTCCAAGCCTCGAAGAATATAGTGCACATGTCCAAGGCCGCAGATCTGTTGCCAGTGACCCGGGAAACGTCGAATACCTGAGCTAAAACAAAACCGACCAAAAACTGAATAACTGCCATAACCGAACCGGCCGAAATGCCAGTGCGGTTGCAGACCTTGGACCTGCATAAGGGATGTTTGACGTGTCGTGGTTTTGCAGTTCGCTGTGCACTAACATGACGATGGCGTAGGAGCGGCCAATCACTCCATCTAGACCCAATGCATTGTTGTCATGTTAAGCCTTCCAGTGCCTCACCTAGTCTTGAACTCGGGAGGAGTCTTGGATGCTGTGCCACGTTGAGCTGCAGCTCGAGCACGGTACGGATACCTACAGCTAAGAGGGATGACGGGGGGTTAGATGTGGCAGGCTAGAGCTCTGGAACTGTGTAGCAGCCAGAGAGAGATGGTTTCAGCCAAATTCGGCGCAGAGCCATGATCCCATTGGGTTCCCATTGAGTAGTGGTAACAAGGCACCTTGTGTCTTCCTCTCGCTACAATGTATGTCTTGTCTTACCCAAGTCCAGCTATCCCAAAGAGGTGAATGCAAGTGTCCGAATGTACTATGATGGCTCAGCTTCTAGCCCCTTGTCCTACCCACAATGGCCCGGCATCATACCTAGGATCCCGAATGAGCCAATGACCGCCCCGCTTCACTTTCCGCATAATAGTGTAGGTGAGGGTATTATGTCATCAGTTTCTCTGTCTCCATCGTCAGAAGAGAGGCTCTGTCTGGGCCCGACCATGGTGTAAGCGTGTCCCGAGGGGCTGTCACGGTCCACCGTCAAACGCCCGGACCATAGAGGGGAATACGAACCTGTGACCGGAGCGTCGCCATGCAGCACACGACCTACGACGATGACCGGCCGGCTTCAGCCATTTCCATGTTGGCGGTTCTGATGAACCTCGTGCCATTGCACCTCACGCGGCTTGCCTCATCGTGACCATCACGGGCGGTCTATCTGACTATCGGTGTGACTGTCTGTCTATCTGCCCTGCGTCTCTCCGTCTGACTTCCCTGCTGGCCTTTCCTCTTTTCACCCCAGTCGTGCGCGTTCTTCTCCGAATTCCCTGCCCGCCGCGATCCATCTCGGTTTCTCTTTCACGCTCCCTGTCTCCGATTCGCATCGTGGCCCCTCTTCTCTCCCGCTCTGTGCTATATCAGTCTCGCGAGGGCATCCGAGCTCAGCCGAGCCCACGACAAGGTCATGTCAGATGAGCCAGGGGGGGCCAGAGTGACCGGGGCAAGGCTCTTGACACTTATTCAAACAAGAGGGCATCGACTGTCCCAGAGATGGGGATACCCCCGTTTCTCATCATGTTAGCCACGGTTAAATGACCTGGGTCCAAAGGGCTCCCCGCACTGCCGTAGACAGGCTGGTCCGCCATTTCGCACCACGACTTTGTTGATACCTTGATCCCAGCTACCGCCCGCAACGTTGCCAGCAGCCAGGCGATCAAGCAGCAGCCGCTCTGGCCGCGGCCGCCGCGCCGTGTAACAACCTTGGTATAGGCCCTGTCCATAGTCTTCACCGCAAACCGACGGCGGCGGGCGGCGGGCGGCAGCAACGGGTGCGGACAAGATCCAAGCCATCTTAAACTTGCCGCCGTGCCGCGATTACCTTGGCGTGGGACATGGGGGAGGGGTCTTGTCAAATTTGTCACCCGCAGAACCAAGGGACCGTTACTCGACAACACCATGGAATCGTGGAACAAGTCTAGACAGAGAGGAGCAGTCCAGACTAGCGCAAAGGAGCAAAAAGGTGTTTAACCCTCGTCGCACATCGTCCGCGGCCTGGCGATGTCTACTCTGACCCTCTGGCGGGTGCTCGTCGAGTCGAGACTTTGGCATCCTTCACCAACCTTGACATCAAACAGCTTGGCGCGGACTGGGCTAGTCACGACACAACCTCCCCCCTTCCCTTCCCCTTCTAGTATTGCTTCTCGTCATCATCAAACCCCGCCCCGCCTTTTGGTATTGTGACAATGTCAGGTCGAGTGTCTCGTTTGCTGGTCTTCCCACGTTCCTTGCCCATCTCTGCCTCCGCCTCCACCCTCCGGACGGACTATTGCGTCTGCCCGCCCTGCTGCCGAATGCCGGATGCCGGGTGCCGGTACAGCCGCCGGGCGCCGAATGTCCAACACCAAGAACCACCTTCTGTTACCCCCCTCCCCGGCCTTAGTAACCCCCCCTCCCGAGCCGAGTCATCCCCCCTTTCGTTCCGAACCATGGTCTATCAATTTTTTGTCTTGACTCATCATCAAGGTGATCCTACGTGATGCCGTGTGATGCGAGATGTATTTGCTCGGGCGTGGCGGAGCAAGATAGAAGATCGTACGAAAATGGAGCCTCGCGATGGCGAGGCGCATGAGATTGAGCAAGTTTTCGCCAAGGATCCAAGCCTCCCTCTGCCAACTTGCCAATTCCCGCTTTTCAGCACCCAAAACAGCCCCCCCCGCCCCCCCCCCCCCGCCCCCCCCCACCTCCCCCCCCCTCCCCCCCACCCCCCCTCCCCCCCCCCCCTCCCCCCCCTCCCCCCCCCCGCCCCGCCCCGCCCCACCCTGTTCCCTACGTCCGCCCACCCTCCACACCCCCCCCCCCCCCCCCCCCTTTCTCTCTCTCTCTCTCTCTCTTTCTCTCTCTCCAACTGATCATCTGGTATGCATACGCGTGCTACGAAAAGTCTTCATGCCAAGATATATCTTGGCGCGCCTTTTTTTTTGCAGTTGCGAGCGCCCCAGAAGCCGCTAGGCCTGTGGAAATGGTACGACAATGCTTATGCGGCTGCTAGCCATGGGCGCGAACAAGCCACCGTTTCGACTGTCCATCGTCATCGGAATGGCTCAGGCCCATGGGCCAATAGCCTTGCTGCTGCTCTCTCCCCGTCGGCATCTTAATTCCCCGTTACCGCCCTAACTCCCCGTCTTGGTCCATTTTGCCTAGTCTGCGGCAGTGTCTGTGTGAGCTTCGAGACCTTTCCCGCCAGCGTGACGTTGGGGCAGGTACATGACCTACGCCACATTAAATGTATTTTCTTTCGCCAAGATGGCTCCAGTTCCATTTTAGCCCTTGAGAAGTTGAGGCTTGGCTCTTTGGCGCCTCGCCTTGCCCTGTTTTCTCTCGCACAACGCAGGCTAGGCCGGAACTAGATGCAACGGAGAAGCGCGAGTCTTGGACGCCTGCAGAGCAAGACAGGGCAATATTAGGCGAAGTTAATTGATCTTGGCCCCTAGCAATGCCTGGCCAAGGGTTTGCAGCAGGCTCAGACTCGAGAATCCCAGCTAGCAAGATTAGGCGAATGCAGATGCCCTCTCGATCTACTTTGCCGTATGCATACTTTGTTGATCAGTCATCAACATACCCAGCCATCCGTCCGGACAATATGTACAAAGCAGACTATGACGGACAAAGAAGAAGTCCCAAAATTCCGACCTCGCTCTCGACGAGAGACCCCTCCCCTGCAATGCCCCCGCTGGTCCCCCCCCCCCCCCCCCCCCCCCCCCCCCCCCCCCCCCCCCCCCCCCCCCCCCCCCCCCCCCCCCCCCCCCCCGCCGGCCCCCCCCCCCCAACCCCCCCCCCGGGCCCCCCCCCCCCCCCCGGCCCTGGTTCAGACCTCAACCATTCCTCTGGGCCCGAAGCCGCCGCCGCAGGCTGGGAAGGACCAACGTCAATCCCGGTGCAGCTCTCTGGGCCCCCTACATTCCATAGTAGAAGATTCGGAAGTGGCGCACGGTTTGGCTGCGCAAAGCGGGAAGACTGGAAGCTTAACAGCATGGCGGCGAAGCAGCTACCGAGACCTGGGCCAAGGTCAACCATGTACGAAGTACTTTGTGCCCTCCATACTGTACACACTTCACGTACCCACCCTACCACCCCTGTCCTTGTACGCCCGTTGAGTGATATGTTTCCCCATGGTCCCTGCCGGGGCCGCTGTAGCACAGAAATTGCCGTGTAGTAGTTGGCGGGGTGCAGGTAATTAGATCACTGACAAAAGTGCCCGTCTCCGCCCCTCTGTCTATCCGTACGTACACTACATAGGAGTGCAGAATTGAGGCCTGCCCTGCTCCAGTGTCCAAGGGATCCGTAGATCAGATCAGAAAAGTACCATGCTCTCCCACCCGCGGTAAAATAGACTAAAATGCCTATTTTTTGCTTCTATTCCAATTTGCCCGCATGCTCCTCCGTACTTAGTTTCCCTCCGCCTTTGCGGTATAGCGCCATTCTGTCTCTTCCAGCAGCAGAGTTGAAACGTTTGGTCCCCGGCGCCCTAGACCCTGTCAGATGAACTACACTACCATGGTAGTTTTGATCTCTTCTCTGCCATATCGCCTCTTCCTTTTGGCTCCTGTTTCTGACGCTGGTAGCCTGTAGGTACCTCCCATTGTTCGTGCTTCCCTCTTACTAATAGTCTGACCATCCGCCAGACTACACTGTCCGTGTTCCGCACATTGTCCTTTTGCTCAATCTCGTTGGTTCACGTAACATCTGTCCGGACAGACAGGCAAAGGTCTCCGGGGCCCCCAGAGAGAACTCGGCCCATCCGGTATGAGTGGGTCAGGTAGCGGCGCCATATCGCATTATACCACTTTCAGGAAGCGCTTGTTCGACTAGCGAGCAGTCGGGTAGCGTGAGGTGGTTCCACTGATGCGACTCCATCACGTATGTACAGTGTCCCACTGCAACTAGATGGCACGTCTTAGCATACCTAACCGCGCGCCGAATAGCATTGGCAGCTAAGGAAACTAAAAGGGATGGTTCTTCCGACACATCAGACAGGCCAGAACCATACCAAATGGTAATGGCCACCAGCAAGGGGGGCGAATAGTGCCGGTGCGTGCGGCCCTGACAGGTTTGCATCCCGGCGCCGGACCCTTCTCCTCCATCTCGGCCGTTCATCTGCTTGAAGCTGCATATCCCTCCCCCTCCTCTTCGTGGTGAGAGGCTGTGGTTCCTGGGAGCAACTCAACCCAACTCTGCCCACCATCTCTCTCTCGGGATCTGCCCTTCGTACCCAACCGAGTTATCCCATCTTTGGGCCAATCAAGCCCGTGTTGTGGTTCCAGCAGAAAAGTTGATCTCTGCTCCACCATCTCCCCGAGCAGAAATATCCGCCAAAACGTTTGGACGGGGACTCCATACTGTAGCCCCAAGCTAAGAAAAGAAAGCGAGTCCAAAGATGGCAATGATCTGATGCCTCACAATGACACATTCCACATACAATGGTAGTGTAAATGTACAGATAGCTCACGAGATTTTTGGACAACATGCAGACAGTGGGAGCAGGGCGAGGAAGAAGGCGGACAGAACTTAGGCCATCGTCTGTCAATGTGGCCATGTCACTGTCAACTGGAACCCTCGACTGTGGTTGCAGGCCAAAGCAAAAACACCTGTTAAGTATCTACAGAGCGCGACGAGGGCACTTTACCGATTGTCCAGGTCGCAATACATCAACCTTTGACGCTTGAGCTCGGCCATTCGTGTTGCAACATTTCACGGCCAGTGGTACACCACCGGCAAATCAAGACCGGGTATAAAAATTTTTAAGTTAAAATATATAATATTTCTCTTTTTCATTTCATCTCGCTTATTCTTTAAAAATAAAAATAAAAACAAGAATTTTTTTAATATATATATTTTTCTATTTATTTTAAAAATATTTATAAAAACGTAAATTATTTATATATATTAGTATATAAAAAAATAAAAAATTTTAAATTTTAAATTTCTAATTATATTTATTATATAATTTTATTAATTTCATAATAATTATATAAATAATAAGTAAACTAGTCTTCTTAATAAAATATAAATAAAGGAAAGCGCCAACTCTTTAGTATTTATATCAAAATTAAATAATTAAACGTGCTTAGTATTCAGCACTAGAATTGCGATTTTTCAAGTTGGAGTTTGCATTAGCGGCGCAACTTGACAAAGACCCCGACTGTGCCAAGCTTTCAAAGCGGGCTTATACTTCGTAGTATATCCGCACTACACCGCATCCAACGCTCCCTCACATTCACTCAATAGGACCAGCACTTATTGATGTAGGACTTGGACTTGGAAGCGTCGCTATGTCTCATCCATATGGAGGATAACGTTGAGACTTCATCTTGCTGTACCCGCTGGCAATACCAACCGTATGCCATGACCGAACTAGAGTCTTGGCAGCAATTTTGATCAACTCCAACACTAATTTCGCCTTCTTCTTTACCTCGACGTGCAAATCCAGCAGATAATCACAGCACGCAAGACTCGTTGCCAAGACGCCGGTTCTCTGAACGCCTGTCCTGGATACAAATGAATGGTTGAGAAACAAATTTAGAAAACACGAATCATGGACACGACAATGAGATGAAAGAAATCGCCAATCATAAGCTACACTTTGAATAAATCTCCGTGCTATTTGACAATTGCCGTATCGACTAAAGCTCGGTGAGGCTGCTGGTACGGGCGGTAAATTCAACTCCATCCCTCATTCACCCACCGTCCACTTCACGCACTATGAACCCTTAAACACCGCCGGCCGTTGAGAGAGCTACTTTCTCTCGATTTCCTGCCGTCCGCACATGATTTCTGACCATGTTATATTTGCCATCACGGCCAATCGTCACCCAATCGCCGACGAACGTTACCTTGCTACATCAGTAACCCGTAATTGTACGCATGTTTGCAACACACCTCACCGTTGCCTCTGATAGACTCACCCCTGATCAACCGGCCACTTTCCCATCGATCCCGCCCCTTACACGCATCGACTGGTTATTGCTTCCATGGACCCGACCCCTGACTGACAACGAGGACCCCATCCCCTCTCCGTCACCGATTTGTATTTAATTTTATTGAACAACTGCAACATCGACATGGTTTCGCTCTCCATAACCAGCCCACCGGGTTTGTCCGGCATGTGGGCCATCCTGTCTTTCGGTATCGTGGAATACTCCAATGTGCGTCTAGCAGTCCGTCAACTGCGCATCGTGCAGCACTCCCATCGCTACATTCGGATTCCATCCACACATGGACACTGGGTATTCGTAGTGTCTCGTCTTCCTCGTCCACGACTTCCAACCCGCCAACGGCCGCCAGTGTGTGCCAGGAAGAACGAATGTACGAATACACTTCCACACCCTCTTGGCCATAACCCCCCTGCCACCACAGGCTTGCATGGGAGCGAAAGTGCTCAGTACTTGAATATCCATTCACTACTAGTACCCGAGAGTAGACTAGTCCACTGCACAAGCTGCGGAACGCTAGTCGAAAGAATCTGGCTGGGTACGGCAGGATTAGTACCGCCATCGGAGGGCTAATTAGCCCGGCCGACCCGGGGCTTGCTCCAGGTTGAGACGACGCCATGCCATCACTGAAGATCCACGTCCGTGCTCTGCAGTCTGCACATGCTTAGCTCCATGGTTTCTCTCTCTGTCTCTCCTTTTCTCTTTCTCTCTATGTCTCTCACTCTCCATGCTGCATACTGAGTGGTGCTGCTCTTCCTAGCTGCCAGTGACCACTGACCATCCTTCAGAACGGCGTCTCAGCTGAATCGCACCCCCACCCCTGCCTGCCCAGTGCTCATTCGGCCTTCATAAAAAACCATGGCCGGCTGGCCGCCGATTCATCTGACGTGTAGCGCCTCGCCGGCACCCTCATTGGAATGGGCATCATCGCTCCAAACACTCCATCGAGGCCCACTGATTCGTCCTGTTCGAGCTGCTGATGCCGCCGCTTCCCCATGCTCCCAGTCCCTGCCGCTGCCGCCGCCGTTCCCTCCTTGCCCTTCGATGTCTCCTCTTCGCTCACGGCATGCCCCTCCAGCGTCGAAGTCCGCGCCTTCGCCCGCGGACGCGATTGTGCCTGTGCGAATTGGTCGACTCCCCGCCGTGTCCCAAGGTCTGCAGTATTTGCCGAGCTGTCCTTGGCCTTAACCGCGACTAACACGCCGCATTCCCAGTTGCGACAAGTGAGCTTGGCCGTTCCCGACTCCCGGTCCTTCACTAATCGGCCCCTAAACGTTCAGTCTAGGTCAGCCTTATGATCGACCCACGTCGTTTCTTATCGCTGCCCTCAGGTAGCAGACTTTACCCCTTCTGTGCTGTTGTCCCTCACCGAGACCGCTAAGGGTAGCGTGCAGGCCAATCGCGAGGTTTCCTGTTCAACTTACCACGCGCTCTCCGACAAGTTTGCACTCCCCACGTATGCCCAGACTACGCCGTCGTGCGCCCGCTCACGGACGTAAATGGCTTTGCTATGTAGCAACAGGCCATTTCGGGCGCCCTGGCAATCTCGCAGTAATTCTCGCGGAAACGTTGAAGAATTCCACCATTTCTCTTGCACGCAAATGGTGCCGGCAGACTAAATCACGTAAAATGAGCATACGGGGAAAATACATGGGGACTTGGGCAGCAGGATCGACCGGTAACGCGGCGATCCCGGCCGGCACACGACTTACAGATCTACCGCCCCAGCTACTAGAAACGGTCTTTTCGGTAGGGAAGTAGATGCGGAAATGATGCTGTAATTGGAGCGGCTCCTTGTCAATGTCGGCCGGTCTGGAACCAGCCAAGCCTGTTTTTGCAGCCTTGTTCTTAGTCGTTTTGGACTGCCTCGCTTCGTATTCTTTCATGCCTGAATCGCCTGCAGGGAGCAGCGCCAACGACGGGGCGTTACTGTTAGCATGCTGATCTTTCCACCCTGTCAAACCTCAGCAGGCTTGATTGCAACCACACGTACCTTGACAGGCATAGTAAATCGTCGTTAAGAATCCATGGTTTAGCGATCCCAGTGAAGATGTCTGGAATGACCAATTGGTAAGCAACACCCCTCGTCACGCGGCTCGCCAAGAGCTGGGTAGTTTGTGTACCACATAGTCAACGTCAACCGCATTATCGGTTGCCAACCCCAAGCTTCGAACACTGGTCCCTAAGCCGCAGTAGCCTGAGTCTAGGTTAGCAAAAAGTTGACTCGCCACGGACATGAAGTCATCGCGTCCCAAACGGAACGGGTAAACTGACCTGTGTGTTGCCAAGCATCCTTTGTATGGCTGCCCGCGCTGTGTGTCGATGTCAGCCATCAGTTTGTCAGGGTGCCATCTTACGTCGGATTGCCCTGTTGTGACTGACATAGAGTGAATGAAACTATAACGGCTTGTCTCTGAGAAGTCGTAGCTATCGAGACTCTTGACCAACTTCTCGTCGAGGCCAAGCGCCCTCAGGAAGCGCCGGAGCTCGGTGCCAAATGATGTCTCGGTCGGTGGTCCGTCGAGTCGAGGCAGGTCGATCAGAAAAACAATCTCGGAGAAGTCAGCCAGACCACCGAGAGGAGCTAAAGTTGAGAGCTCAAACGTTTTCCAAACCGCCCGTCTCTCCCCAATCGTATGGAACCAGATTGCCGGAAGGAATTACAATGCGGAGATAACTGCAAATCAGCAAGTGGCTATCAATAGCTTAAACAATGGAGACTCACCATTCATACTTCAAGATCTGCAACTTGGAATGCATGTATCCGCCATGCATTGGCGGAAAGCAAAATTTGATGAGGCCGCCGGCCGGAACGTTGGCGCGGATGGCGGCTTTCTGTAGCGATGAACCGCAAAGTCAACACTCGGCACAGCAATGTAAAGTAGCGTCCTTCAAACATACCTCGGCGTCGTTGGCTGCATAGGCGATGAGAAGCATCTTAGTCTCCAGGGCGTTGACTTTCGAGAGAAGCCATTCCTCGTCCCACTGGAAGGATGAGAGCACGGCCAGCTGGAGCTTGTCCTTTTGAAGGACTTCCTCAATCTTGATATCATCTCCCCCGCCCCTAGGACAGCCGTGAGACCAAGTGCGCTTGAATGCTCCTTTCGGAAATGGCAATTCCAAAACATTCTCGGGTGATGTTGCTGTTGTTGCCTTGGGATTTACGGGGCCGGAGTCAATAATCTCGTGGCCCTCCAATGCTTCAGAGCGTTGCAGCTTTTTCTGTGACTGATTATCAAAACCAGCCTCCATCGCCGAACGTTTCTTGAGTCTTGCTATACGTTCCTCTTCCATCCTCTTCCGGTCGAGAGCCAACAACCCCATAGGGCCGGTAGTGTTGGCCGAAGAAGTCGGTGGCTCCGTTCCAGATGATACAGCCCTGGCTTTAGCACCGTTCTCGAATTGTTCTTGCTGTAGAGAAAGTGCGATGGCCAACGCGAGATCAGGATCTTCGTCTGCGCTTGGCGACTGAGATCGCGCCTGATTATTGTGTGAGCTCATGTTCACTCGCGAGACGTTGCCTTTCGTTGCAGGTGTTGGCTTGAAATAACGGCAGCAATGTTCGACAATTTGTGTCGACTCTCCAGGTTCTAAATGCTCAACAGAAATTGGAAGCAAGAAAACTTCGGGATAGGAACACCTTGTGATGATGATGGTGAACGTCTGGCGACGTCAATTATATTAGGTAGCCGACGTGTAATCGAGACCCATTTTTTGTATGTCAGCTCGCGAAGTCACGTGCTTTCGTGTACTGTCATTCCTCTCGATCTGCGTCTTTATATCTGCATATCCCCCCTTATTCAAAATAGCTGCCTCTATTGACTACTTGCATTACTAGGGTTACAACAATATCGGACATCCAGCCTGTATGTTACACCTAATGCTGGATCTTGACGAGTTGTCTTCTACTGTCCATAGTCGAGATCGATGTCAATTCTTTTCGAAGCTCTATTCTAGGATTCCAATCTCTGAAGGCTGGCGTTGTCAGTGTGAAGGCATGGTATTTAATGCAGACTTAATATTTGAACAAAATTACGTCTGCATGATTCGTCGTACTAGATCCATTGTAGAACCCAGCCACTGTCAAGAGCTTGCGTATGCGTTCAGATGCTTCATGAGAGTATGAAACATGTGCATTACTTGGCTGACTGTAGGAACCAAAAAATTTCGGGGACCGTTCGTCATTGTTCACAGCCTTGTGAGAATGTTCCATTTGATCGACATCGTCCTTTGCCTACCTGGGTCACTTGTAAAGTGCACAACGCCTTTCGACATGAGAAATACAATGTACCGAGGGCATCGCAATGCTACAGTGTCCGTGTGAGTTTTGATTGCAAACTCCAATGATTCTCCTCCGTGGGGTGTTGCTATTCAGACACGTCGATAAGATTGAATTTTTAACCGGATCCAGGACAGGCTATACTCGGAATATCAACTGAGCTTGAAATTTGTGTTGATTATATTCGGTGAGAAGGCTTTGTAAGTGTGAAATATTGGTGAAGATCGCTTCAAGGTGCAACCGCTGTGCCCTGTTTGGTGCTGTTCCCACCACGGAACATCGAGGTGTGAGATCTTCTGGCCTAAGATCAGCCATTCCATTATGAAGTGCCCATTTGTGTTCGAACCAATGTCTCCTTTTCGTCAGGATTTTTGAAGTCTCTTATTCTGATTGGAACTAGGAATAAACTCGTTGAACATAGCTAGTTGGACATTTATAGATTGAGCGTCTCCCTCGAAGCTCATGAAAAGAATATAGCTAGATCTCGTTCTTTCTCCTCCTGGGGACATGTCCAAGCTATGTTTCCGGGATACGTTTGGCGGCAATGTAGAGTCTTCAAACCTGGTGATAGTGAGCCCAACTAAATAAGGCCATCATCGACCCATTGTCCTAGGATTTCAACATGCATGTGGACGAGAGTTGATAGGGTAGCGATCCTCACAGACTTCTGCTCAGACGGCCACCGACAGTAAAAATTGGAATTCAGCACAGGCTCCCGAAGAGCTATTGAACAAACGTCAAAAGGAAGGACTCACAATCAGAGCCGAGATTAAGGTCCCTCAATCGTCTTGAGACGGACGGGTGTAAGAGATATACTCCGAATCGAGGTCATGGCTGCAATGGAAATCTTCATAGAAGTATATTGCGAAGCCAGGGCATATAGGTCTATCGACACTCCTTATGACCATCCAACGAGTGCGGGACTTGAATAGAGAGGCTCCTGTTGGGCAGGGCAGCTTCCGACAACGACGTCAACTTCGTATGGACAGGAACCAGGAGACAATCTTCGAGCTCTCTCCATGTTGAACCTGAATGGAAGATTCACAACGGAATTCTTGCGTTACATCAAGCGGGAGGCATTCCGGCAACTTCAGTCAAATGTTACTCGGATGCAGCAACGATCAACATCACCGTCTTCGATGCCCCTCCGCGGCTGGGGGAGAGGTGAGGGGCCCGTTCCTTCGAATATATAGTTGGCAATCGTCTTTTGCAGGGAGGCGAATTGAGTCCTGGACAATTATGGAAATCACAGATGACGGGAATGTGAACCAGAGGTCGGTAGCATCCGGGTCATCGATGAGAACATTACCTTCGCGTCATGAATTTTCTTGAAGAGAAGCTGCACATCGGGACACTGGATCATGGATTCTGGTCGAATATTCCATAACATCGGACGCTGATATGATAAACGCCCGAGACTTACCTTGCATAGACGAAGAAAAATGCAGGAGTCATCTAGAGGGTCTGCGTAAGCAGTATAGTCACGATCTGTCATCGAGGAACGAAACTTCGCTAATACAATGTCCCTACAGAAGGCCTTTATCCCAGATATCTGATCTCTTAGCATGTTGTCGACCGTCCAGATGTGCCCAAGACAATGGCATCAAATCAAGGCTGGACTATGAAATGCACTGCGGAGGTGTATGTTGTGGCATGTTTTCAATCCAATTCGAGAGCAATAGAATCGAATATGGTAAATGGAAACGGAATATCAATTGGTCCTAACTGACAGGAAAACATCAACGTCGCTTTCGGGTATCAAGTAGAATCCCAGGTACAGTAGGCACGTAAAGCAACTGCTAGCTCCTGCTGCTTCCCGCAAACCCAAGACACCCAACAAGACAAATTAACAATCATATCAAATAGAAGCCGCGCAGACTCCTGTTTCCACGCCAGACGACTTCTAGTAACCTTGCGTCTTCCAATGAGAATCAACAGTACAAAGTCAACCAGCCAAGTGACGCCCGAGCTACCAAGTGCACCGAATTTGTTGTTTGCATTAAACAGCTAATGGCCGCCTAAGAGTACAGAGGGCGTTCCCCAGATTTTGTAGATGCCATGGGGGATTCGAGTTTCAGAATGCGGCGCAGATTGTCCTCCATAGCGCGAAGGTCGGCAGACTGTTCGCCCTGGGGTACTGGGTTGTTTCTCATGAAGCCGTTATGAACATACTGAGCCGGCGGACCCGAAGTGGGTGACTGAGTAGATGATGCCAGACCTTTGCCGCCGAAGAGATACTTCTTTAGAGCCTCAGAGCGGTCCTCGATCGGTGAGACATGCGAAGGTCTTGAGCCATTTGGAGACTGGTTGGGAGCGGCGCGGGCAGCACGAATCCGCTCTTGGTACGGGGTGGAGAAGGCAGGGCCAAGGGGCTTTCCCGAAAACCCGTCAAGCTCTCCTGCTGAGATTCCGCTAGATGATCTCTGAAGGGGTATGCGGTGCCCAGGATGAGTGTGGTAAGGCTTCGCAACGAAAGGGCCGTTGTTGGCCTCTCCCGGTGAAGGGGCAGCGGTTGACTCAGAACCGTCCGTCTGAATCGAGGAGTATAGAGAACTAGATCGCCGCGCCTGCTCCTTTTCGGCTCTATCGGCCCTAAATATGGCGTCCAGAGGCGACTCGCGAGCCCTAGGTGCAGTCGCAGGATGCTGAGGTGTCGGACGTTGTCGTTCGGTAGTCGGTGGTGACGGCTGCTGCTGAACTTCCGGTCTGGGTCCTGGAGATTCGGGAATAGATTTCGAATAGAAGCTGGGCATGGGTAAAGCCGAGGGAGCAGGAGAAGCATGGAAGGTTGCGCCGGCGAAAGCAGCTGCTGCCGACTTGTTTACCGGGATGCTCTGAGGGGTCGAGCGACGGTTCTGGCGGGTGACGTCGGGCGAAGCTACGGTATTGACATTCTTAGTCCGGGGTTTGTTGCGCGAGCGCTGTTTAGAGCCAGGCTGGTTGCTATTGCCGGATTGCGGCTCAGGCGAGCCGGAGTATGACTTTTGGGGGGTATGAGGATTGCCGACTTGTTCGTAGGCCAGGGCTGAGACGATGGCTACGTCGGTCTCGGATGCATACATCTTCTGCCCAGCAGCCTTGCCACCACCGCCCCGACCATGTCGTCGACGAGTGGGCGTTGGCTTTGCTTGGTTTGTTGTTTCTTGCATTCTGAGTTGCAGAAGAGGCGTAGTAAGACCTGTCGCAGCGAGCGCGGTGAGGTGTAGAACAGCGGTAGTCAGGGTCGACAACGGGGAAGAAGTCCCAGACAATGGTTCACCGGTGATGGAGGATGCCTTGACTGAGAAGGTAAAGATACGGCGGTGGCGAGGGCAGGTAGCTGTCGGTCACAAGGCTGTTCGTCTGTGTCTCTCGATACGCTAGCTGTAGCAAGGTTAGAGATGCTGTTTTTTTTTTTGTTTTTTGCTTCTTCCGATGTTGTGTTTTGTGCTACGTTCAAGCGCCAGGAGGATGATCTGTTTGAGGAAGCGGGTTGGGAGAAAGTAAAAGCGAATTGTAGAAGCCAGTGTCTGATGCAGGAAAAGCGCGTATATATTCTCTGCTCATGTTGCCGTACAAATGAGATACGGGCTGAAGAGTCGAGTAAGGTGACAATGGAAAGAGTCGGGGGGAAAAAGCGAAGCGTCAGCATGCAGCGAAAGAGGGGAGAGGGGCTTAAGTAACCCCGGTGCTAGGATACCTTGAGCCGAGTGGAGATGTGTGTGCCTTGCCAAACCTGCCCAGATTGGGCTTGTTCGCTGAGGAACCTCACTTTACCTCCTCGTGGAAGGCACGGTACCTGACCATACAAATAAGGTGCGTTGGGTACCTACGGTAGCTGGGGCAGTGGCAGGCATGTCATCCCGTCGCCTGAATGCCACTGCCAATAGGTACCATCCCATCCCATCCATCAAGGATCTTTGTGCCTATCCAAGTACGGATAAGGAACCTACCTACCCAAGGTAAGGTACCATTTCCACTCCCCTTACCGGAGCATCTCCAAGACTTCCAGTGGCTCAGCAACCTCCGATGAAGGACATATGGATCTCGGTGCCGACCCCCCTTCATGTGCCCTGCCAGCCTTACTCTTCTATCCGTAGTCTGCAGCTAATACCTCACAGACGGCACCCATTACCTCACCATCCTTGCTTCACTGTCTAAAGTGGCGTCGACGTGCGGATACGAGTCACGATCCTGGGTTCTGGGAGGACTTGCGTCACTCCCTCGACTCCTCAAGAGAGTCAGAGACCATAGGAACCGGGAAAACGTTGCCTTGGATGACGGCCAAGTTATCTCTACTTAATAGATTACTTGTAGTTGGGGCACACGGTCTGCTTGATGGGCACATTATTAAGAGGCCTAACGTAACAAGTCAGGCTGCTCATGTTCACAGGAACAATGTGCGGTTCCCGCGTAACATGCCATCCCGTTCGCGTAACCAGTATTTCCTCCCAATCTGTCTGCTATACCTACTTCCAACATCTCAAATGGCCAAAGCCGCTAGAAGATATTGCAATTTTTTGAAAGAGTTCCCTTTCCCAGAGTTATGCTGCTATAACAAAGCCTTCCAAAAGTTGTCTCATTCCATGGGATTTCTCGATGATGTGTCAGTCGGAGTAAGGCACAGTGCGCACCCATAATCTGAAGATATGGACCTCCCTTCGAGGTCAGGTTCCCCATGGTGCCATGTGCTTAGGTAATGTGTAGTGCCTGAGCAACCTCTCTCCACTCGCTTCTTTCAGGTAACGGCGGTAAGATAGGCTGGCCAGCAGGCCCTCAGGGCACAATACAGGCATCTCTATCCGTACTTTGGTAGGAGTCTAAGGCACCTTATAGAAGACGAAGGTACAGGGCACCTCAGGCAGGGAGCGATCCCGTTTCCCGCACTGTACCTTACCTAAGGCAAGGTTAGGGAAGGCACGGGAGGCATGCCACACCTCATGAACCCCGCCAAGGCAGGAGGACCGCAGGTTTGCTGAATGAGGCGCCTTGCGGACCGGGGCAATTCCCGTCGGCAACCTCTCCTACCCTCCATTCGTATACATCACCAACCCACGGAAACCCAGCCAGCAAACGAGACACGACAAACGCTGCACCAAACCACCAAAGTTCTTTTCTTCTTCTGAAAACTTGAAGAGTCACTTTGCACCGTCTTTGTAAGATATTCGCCCGCTACCTGGAAGGCTTGACATACGCTAGCCCGCCGGCCCGCAACCCTTTTGACCTCGCTGATCGGACTTAGCTGACCACCTACAACGAGACAGAAAAGGTACGCTTCTCACGCCTTGTCCGCAAGCTTTACCAAATACCGAACCGTCGCCGCCTCGTCGACTTCCAGTTTGCAATCTTGATATTCTCCGATACTGCTCGGTCGCTCAGTATTCAAACTTACCGACTACACCCTAGTCGAACCGTAGCTGCGATCCTAGATACCACGATGGCCGATGTCGACATGACGGATGCGCCCGGGACCGCGGTCGCCAAGAAGGCCGCTGACGGCGAGACCAAGGCAGTTGATGGAAAGAAGCGCTTCGAAGTAAAGAAGGTGAGTAGATGGGAATTCGGATAGCCTCACGCAAGCTTACCAGTGCCTCTAGTGGAACGCCGTTGCACTGTGGGCATGGGACATTGTCGTCGACAATTGCGCCATCTGCAGGAACCACATTATGGATCTCTGTGAGCTGGCCCCTGACACGGCTTTCCGCAGTTTCGCCCTTCTTCAACATGCTAATAAAGTACAGGTATCGAGTGCCAGGCGAATCAAGCCTCTGCCACGAGTGAAGAGTGCACTGTGGCCTGGGGCATTTGCAACGTAAGTTCTCTTTGTTACCTCTGCCTACTCTCGCTAACCTCAGCGCAGCACGCATTCCATTTCCACTGCATCTCACGTTGGCTCAAGGCTCGACAAGTCTGCCCGCTGGACAACCGTGACTGGGAGTTCCAGAAGTATGGACGCTGAGATAGTGCAAGACAAGATGGGAGAGTCTTTGCCGACGGATACGCAGCGTCACGGTGTGACAGCCATGCGTAATAAGGATACGATCAGTGGTACTGTCCTTCGAGCGAGGACTGCGTACGGCTACTCAACAGCTAGCTAGAGGAGCCTTGAAGGATGGGCACATTTGCAGATGCAGAACCATACAGCACAATGAATTGATGAATACTTGACGTCTTCAATCCCGGCTATCCAGACTTCTCTATTAGAGCAACATTCCGTGTCCCGGATCCGGACCCGGACCCGGATCCAGGCTCTATCCACTTGACCGGATGTTGTTTGAAGAAGGGCCAAGGAGGCACGACAAGGAGAAATGTGAGGACGGTTCCGCCCAAGCCAATGTAGACTGCGAGCTTGATGTCCTGGAGGATGTATCCAATGATGAAGGCAAGAACCTGCAGGGAAGGGGAGGTCAGCAAGAGTAACAATCAAGTAGCGGATGCTCTCCATAGAGCTTTTATTGAAACTTACTCCAGATGCCGAGAGAAGTAGAGTCGCTAGGAGATCTGCCAGCTTCTGGCCCTCAAAGTCCTGCGGAAAACACACTGTTAACCTCTGGGCGAGCAAAAAGCGTCAACGACGCCGGAAATGCCGATTTCCACCGGTGACGTACGATCTGGCCTTCCGCCATGTCGCGAACCTGATCGAGGATTTGATCGGCCATCGTGATTGCGGCCACGAAACTGTCCAATAATTGTTCCTTTTGGTTGTAGGCTGGTTGACAGTCGAGGTTGCCGCCGGAGGGTGAATCGATATGAAAAGCCCGCTTGCCAAGTGTAGGTGAAGGATACCGGACTGTAAATGTGTGTCCGAATACTTGTTTCGGCCTGTGGTCTCGAGGCGATCAACCGTTACTGATTTGATGAAGTGGTGGACGGAAACACAGCTGAAGGTACCATGGGTAGGTTAGGTAGGTAGGGAACAGGTATGCCGTTTCCAAAGCAGGTCAAGCACAGACTCCAGTCCACTCCGCAGGTCTGATTTGCATGGAAGCTCAGTCGGTCGGCGCATGCTGCTGCTCCGGCAGCTGCTATTGGGTGCAGTCCAAACCACAAGGAGAACGGCGGGGACAGGCTAACCAGGCTAACAGACTGTGTGGTGTCATACGGTGCTTGGCCGCGTCCCCACTTGTGGTATACCGAATGACACCCTGGGCTGGAACCCGAGAAAAAAGTCTCTCTCGGCTGGCCTGTGCCGCCACCTGCCTTAGCGACTCACTGGCTCGAAGGTCGGATTTTTTTACTGAGAACCGGGAAGTCTTCCCTTGCATTTGATCATTTTCTGGCCGTCCCCGTCTTCCTTCCATCCACCGCCAAAAAATTCAAAAAAACCCTCAATACGCTCAGGACAACAAAAAATCGTCGTCCCAACTCCCTTTTCGCAAACCACTTTTTGCTCACTGATTGTGCAGCAGTCAGAGCAGCTTATCATCAGATTAGTCTGATCTTGTTCTGGTTGTTGTTCCAGCGACCTCACGAAAGCAATAGTATACTGTTTCCGGACGACGAAGACAAAGTCCCGCATCCTTGGGTCATCATACGCATCCCCGACTACCATTGGACCTCGATTGTGATCCGATTTCTTCAACACCGCTCCTATCAACAGACACCTACGTCGTCGACTTAACACACAATCGTGTATTTCGAACTGCTGCGACAAACCGTACAAGCGCAATCTACTTTCGAGTGATCTCAGGTCGAAAGACCCAGTTGAAATTCTACCCGACACTCAAAACCACCAAGTTGGCTTCACTCGCAGCTGACGCTACCTCACCCACCTGTTCACTCCGAGGTCCTGGTTTCTGGGTCTATAGCGGAGTGCACAAGAAACCACCGTAATCAGGTTTCATCATCGAAGGAAGAACAACTGGAATAACCAAATCGACATCACCATTGCGCATTAACGCTGTCTTCTCAGCGTATACGTATCTTCTAGGGACTGGCGCAACCATAGCCACCCTGGAAGCTCGCTACTCGTTCAGGGCACACCGCGCCGGCCGCGCGGAGTGCGATTTGGCTACGGTCTACATTGAATACGCATCAGTTATGGGTATCGCCGCCTGATTCAAGAGTTGCGGAGGCCTTCGAAGAGGAACGAGTTTGAGACTTATGACCCATTCCCCTAGGCGGGCTACCCACACGAGCAAGCTGATATTCTCGTCGGCCTGGAATCAAGCAATACCGGCAGCTTCTAGCACTAGATCTCAACATGTCTGACCACGAGGAGAACATATCTGAGGGTGGCTTCAAGACGCCGATCCCTGAGCTCGACGATCACCGCCATCAGGTTGCAGCTAGCCCCCACCCGGAGCGGCCTCGAAGAGGCACCTTCGACACGCTTTATGGAGCACGCCTGCTCGGACCCGACTCGGTCTCTGGAGAGCGGTTGCCAAGTATTCGGGTTAGGGACTTTGAAGAGGCAATTGTGGATGATGATGGAGGAGACATCTCGCCGCATGCGCGACGGGTCCGTCGACCAACAGTTGAGACAATGACTGACCAGAGATCGATCTCCCCACCCAACTCGGTGAAGGCCTTTGCTGAAGCGCGCCGTCGCGAGCGTGGCATGTCCCTTTCCGAGTCTAAGGCCGAGAGGAAAGGCAGTGAGGAGAACCTGCATCGAGCTGGCTCAATTAGCAGCCGTCGCAGCCACCGCAGTCGACCTCACACGGTGGATGACGGCGCCAGCTTAGCCACCAACCAGTCAGCGGAGGAAGATGTCTGCTTCCCTCTTCAAGATCCACGGCGTAAGGATCAGCTGTACATCGACTTCGACTACTTGGAGAACTTCGTCCAGTCTGACCAGGCGTCGCGAATTGCCAGTCGCCGCGACTCTCTTCGTGCATTCCCAGACTTGCGCCAGACGCAGACGTCCGAGGGCCAGCCTCAGTTGCAACTCAGCACCGTTGACGGAGATATCCTCAACATGCCATCTGACACCTCTGATGAGCAGGAGATCTCGGAGAAGGAGCACACCGCCGAAGAAGCTAAGGCTAAGCCTGCAACCCAGCAGCCCTTGGACCCGAATCGTTTCAGCTTCTTTTCCTCGGCTTGGGAATCTACGATTCACGCGGCAGAACTCGGGGACTTGGTTCTCCCAGGCGAGGATCTTCGGGGCCTTTTCACGCTCCCCGCTGATGAATCGGATGGAGTTTGGTGGCTGAACGTCAATAACCCCACAAAAGAGGAGTTAACCGCCATCTGCAAGGCATTCGGTATTCATCCCTTGACAATTGAGGATATCACGACGCAAGAGGCGCGGGAGAAGATTGAGCTGTTTCCCTCGTACTATTTTGCAAGCTTTCGATCCTTCACCCCGGTTCAAGAAGACGATGGCTTGGAGTACGAGCCGTACAACCTGTATGTCATCGTCTTCCGTGAGGGTACTCTGAGCTTTAGCTTCGAGCCCAATGCCCATGCTTCTCACGTGCGTAAGCGTATTGCCCTGCTCAGGGATTACGTTGCGCTGAGCAGCGACTGGATTTGCTATGCTCTCATGTAAGCAGACATGGTCCTACTTTCAAAGAAAACCCCAGTGCTAATCTATCACAAAGCGATGATATTGTGGATAGCTTTGCTCCAGTCATCCGCGACATTGAACTGGAAGCTGACGCCATAGAGGACGGCGTGTTCGTAGCCCGCGAGGATGATTCGAACCAGTTTCTGCGGTCCATTGGCCGAGTGCGCAAGAACACCATGGCTCTGATGCGCCTCCTTGGAGGCAAAGCTGATGTCCTGCGAGGCTTTACCAAGCGTTGCAACGAGAATTACAAGGTCACACCTCGGATGGACATTGGACTTTATCTTGGCGATATACAGGATCACGTCGTTACCATGGTTACCAATCTCGGCCACTTTGAAAAGATCCTGTCTCGCTCCCACAGCAATTACCTGGCCCAGCTTTCCATCAACAGCATTTCTCAGGGTACGCACACGAACTTGGTGCTCAGCAAGATCACTGTTCTGGCGTCAATCCTGGTTCCACTCAACCTCGTCTGTGGACTGTTCGGCATGAACGTCCCGGTTCCTTTTGCTGACACATCTCTCGCTCCATTCTTTGTTATTCTTGGAAGCCTCATTCTCTTCAGCGTTGTGAGCATGACGTTGGCTCGCAAGTACAAGTTCATTTGAAGGGCCTATTGGGGCGCGACTGTCAAAGCTGCCATTTCAGTTTCTTCGCATGCTGTTCTACTACTCGGATACGAGTTACAACTTTCAAGCTTGTGTCAGCAACAAAACAAGCAATGGGGATGGGGTTGAATAATGAAATTGGTCTGTCAATTAATCAACTTTAGTCTTAAGTTCTAGTGGACGTGGGAGAATCAGAAGTGTTTTTAATATCTATCCTTTAGTAAAACTTTCATGTGACTTTCGAAATGCTCCTCCTCGTGAACTTTGTAATGTCTTGCTCAAGCCACCATCTCATTGATGGAAACTGGGAAAACTGGTTCTTTATGGTATACTGCCACGGTCGCCTGCACTTTATTACTTGCATTGAGTGGTGACTACTTACCTGCGCACAGAGTCAGCCAATGGGAGATGCCTATGTTATAGTGGAGACCTGGGAAAAAGCTGGATTCGACAAGCACAGGCCGACGACAAATACTTCAATTCAAGGCTTTCGGTTTCTATCATACTATCGTCGCGACCAAGATACGCTTTCCCATCGGTACTAGCAAGTTGCAGCAAACAAGTCGATTTTTATTCAAAGGGCAAAATTTCCAAAAAGCCATAATCATGGACTCCTCAAGATCAGCGCTTGAGAACTCGGACCTCGACAAGCTCAACGACAAGGACAAGCTTGAGCTCCGTCAATTTCTCGCCAACGAGCAACAGAGGTCTCAGATTCAGTCACGTCAGTACAGCGCTTCCTCCGAGAGACTATAAGAGCAGGGAACAATGGCGTATGAAGGCGATAGGAGAAGATAGAGGGGATGGCGCGGCCCAATCGGACAGCGGTGCAGTAAGAAGAACATCAGCTGACGAGATCGAACCATGATAGAAACCCATGCCCTGACCGAGATCTGCTGGAAGAAGTGCGTCAGCGGCTCAATCCGCAACTCAAAGCTGGACAAGAGCGAGGAGGGATGCCTGGCCAACTGCGTTGACAGATTCCTCGACGTCAACTTCCTCACGATGAAGCACCTCAACAACATGCGTTCCGGTTAAGGGATCGGAGGCCCATAGGAGAATCGCACTTGGGGAGAAGAAAACAGAACATTTCTTGGAGGAAACACGGTAGACCGGGAGACCTTGCCAGATTACGGCGTAGGATGAGAACTTCACACAGAAGTCGCCCATGTATAAGCATTGTATACTATGTTACAAGAAAGAATGGCAATACCATTCGCATGAACTGTCCGACACATGTAGCACGCATTGCACATGTACAAGTTTACGTTTTGAATTTGCAAGGATTGTCACGGGGAGAAGGCGAATTCCGCATTCATGGGCATTTTTGAGACTGAACACGGTCATGGTACCCCAGCCTGAGTACCGGGAGAATCGATTGGTGCCCTGTGGGAGATGCCACTCCTGGGGAATCTTTATCAACAACCTTGAGACGCCCATGCCAATGCCTTTGCAGTCAATGAACCCGAATTGCTTTGTTACTTTTCCATTTCCCATCCAAATCGCCCTAGCAAGAAACTCTTAAACAAGAGCCAGCTTGGTGGCGGCGATGTCAAGAGCATCGACGTCGGGGGTAAGGCGGGCGTAGGCCTTCTTGGAACCGTCGGGGCGGATCAGGGTGTTGATCTTGACGGTGTCGATATCGTAGAGCTTCTTGAGGGCCTGCTTGATCTGGGCCTTGTTGGACTTGACGTCGACGATGAAGACGAGGGTGTTGTTCTCCTCAATCTTCTTCATGGCGGACTCGGTGTTGAGGGGGTGGACGATAATCTTGTGCTCATCAAGGCGGGGCTCGTGGGGAATCGACTTGCGGGGGTACTTGGGAGCGCGCGAGACGACGAGAGTCTTGGGGCGGTGGAACGAGGTGGTGTAGCGGACCTTGTTCTTGTAGTGGCCGTGGGCCTAGCAAAGATTTTGTCAGCTCCCGCTTTCGCAGCAGAGCGTCCACCCTAGACCACAGAAACTTTGTGGCCCATCGAGACAGGGTAGGGAGAAAGTTGTTTGTACTTACACCCTTAAGGGCGGCCTTGGCAGCGTTGTTGGCCTGCTTGGAGCCCTTAGGCGCCTTGGAGGCACCGCCTAGAGTAGAGATGTCGCATCAGCAATCGCTCTTTGTTTTCAAAAGAACTCGCAAAATCTGCTGCAGCATGATGCTCCGGGAGAGGCTTCGGTGTAGAGAGTTGATGGATCCCCCGTGCCGTCACCGTTCAACCCGTCGCCGTCGACGAAACAAGAGATTTTGTCGAGTCGCCATTGTACGTGTGTAAAAGTTGTGAAGGTTGCGCTCGCAACTTTGTATTGACTGCTGCCGGGAGCTGGTGTTCAACTACCTTTCTTCGAATCCTTGGGGGCCATTGTGACTGCTGGGGATGTTGGCTGGTTGGGCGGGTTAGCTGTCTTGTCGTCGGTGTCGAAGTCGGATTGAAGAAAGTGAAGATTATGAAAGTCAAATGTTTTTTCTCTTCTGTGGGCTTAGGGTTGAATTGGTCTGTGCAACTAGATTCTCTATCTTATCTTATCTTTGTAAAAGGCGGGGGCGAGGAGGATAAATGTTCCACCGTCAGTAGTAAGGTCGGGTTAGCTAATTCAACCTGGCACCAGACATCATCTCAGATCGAAACAGACTGCTTATGTAAGGCTGGTATCGGAACTCACACTCATCGACAGGAAGAAAAAAAGTCCGAACATCTGTAAAGTCGGATTTGATATTGAGAAAAACCCAAATGTCAACGGGCCAAATTCGAGGCACGCGACTCGGCTTTGAAAACCAAAATCCTCTTGATTATTCTTTTGGTCTCTCTCTTCCCGGAAGAAAAGGCGTTGAGAACATGGGAAGAACCAAGTCTGCCAACAAGCTGTTGTCCAGTGGCCGCCCTCCTACTTTCAAAAAAGCAAAGTCAATATCTCGCAAGGAAACCAGAACTCTCATCAACACTCACCACACTCTGCAGAAAAAGCGCCAACAAGCATTGGCCCGAAATGACGAGAAAGAGGCCGCAGCGGTTGCAGCTGAAATCTCTGCACTCGGCGGGCTCGCGGAGTACCAGCGAGCCAGTCTCCAGGGCCAGAGGGTAGACCGCGGCGGGGACAGCTCAAGGGTCCTCCTGGACTGGTTGCGATCAGCGCGCTTCCAGCCCTTGAAGTCCAAAGGCAGTCGGGGTGAGGGGAAGGACGAGGGCGGTGCGCATCGCCGATTGCGAATGCTCGAGGTGGGCGCTCTCAGCACCGATAACGCTTGCTCCAAGAGCGGCTTCTTCGAAATGACTCTTATCGACCTCAACAGCCAACGAGCGGGCATCCTTCAGCAGGACTTCATGGAACGTCCTCTACCAATGGACGACTCGGATCGGTTTGACATCATCTCACTCAGCTTGGTGGTCAATTACGTGCCCGACCACTCTCTTCGCGGTGAGATGCTTCTCCGCACGCTCTCATTTCTCCGTCAGCCCGGAGACGATCTACCGGATACTACTCGCGCCATATTTCCCTCACTATTTCTGGTCCTCCCCCGAAGCTGTGTATCAAACTCGCGCTATTTCTCCCAGAATCGGCTGGCCGAGATCATGATGGCCTTGGGTTACGTCCAGCTTGAGGCCAAGGTCACGAACAAGCTTGTCTATTCATTCTGGAAGAGGGCGAGTGCTCCTAGCAACCCATTGCCTCCGTTTGTCAAGAAGGAGATCAATTCGGGTCTGAATCGAAACAATTTCACAATCACGCTGAAGGGTTCATGATTGCATGCAGCTAGATAGAAGGATTTCTTTGCGCCTGCAAACTGCCTGGCAGTCACGAAGTACTTTGAAAGCAGGATGTCTCTATTGTTGTTGGAAAAATGGGTTCCAATCATAATTCTGCCCTTGGGGCGATACTCGGCGATCAGACGCTGGGCCATGAGGTGGTGTAAGTTCCAAGCGTTGTCCCCTCACAGCGATCGACGGGCGATCATTCATATTGTCGCTTCCGAATGGACGCCTCGAAGAGGTCACGATTCCAACAAGCCAACGATGACCTGTATTGTGGGACGAATGTCGTCGACACGACAAGCCCACGACAAACCCCGCTGTCCGGGCAGTTGACAGGCGCCCGTTGCAAGCGAGGGGTTGCCTTGACATGCCTTCCGCGGGACGGACCAGTCCATGTTTTACACCTGGATCAATCGGCAACCCATGCAAGACAAACCATGGACCTGTTTGGCGACTTCAAAAGCGAGATAACGCGGCGAATCGGCAGCTGCGTACCCTCTAGTGTTCGATGGGGGCTTCTGCGAAGCTCCAGTGGATACAACTTTGGCCTGCCTGTTCCTTGCACATTGACCACCATGTTCCGGCCTCTTATCAGCTGTTGCGGTCAACGCTACGGACAAGATCCCACGTTATTTGAAGCCGAGGAATGGGCGACAGGCATCTAGAACAGACATGGCTTGGAGAATTAAGGAATAGGATGGACGGGACAAGAGATGTGGAATTGAGCGGTCGACGGAGATGGGAAAGCTGAAGATAGTGTTCACCGGATGCGGACTGTATTCGAGGCGTTTCCATGCCGGTTGTCCCAATTGCGCTACCAGATTCTAGGAGGAGCATTCGTCGTCGGGTAACCCGCAGTCAACTAGTCGCGTATCAATGATTTGAATGATCTGACCCCAAGCCCTTGAGTTCGTTGAAGTCTCTGATCGGCTGCAACGTTGGGCTCAGGTCATCCGGGAGTGGTGCGTTGCCGGGGCGGACGACGGGAATGCTTTGCATTCCGGCCGTGATTGCGGCTGTGACTTCGTTGGGGTTGTCACTGAGAAAAAGCCATTCCTCAGGCTTGCTGTCGGGAAAGTTGGACAGGATGGAGGCATAACTGCCGGGCTCAGTCTTGAGGCCGGCGTTGACCGTGTCGAACCAACCCGAGATGATGGGCGTCAAGTCCGCCGGCTGGGCATCTGTGTAGCCAAAGAACAGCTTTTGGGCGGGCACAGAGCCAGAGGAGTAGATAACGAGGCGTAGGCCGGCGTCTTTCCAGGACAAAAGACGTTCAGCAACATCCGGAAAGAGAGGCGCTTTGATTTCCCCCGACTTGTAGCCTTCTTTCCAGAGGTAGCCCTGTAGGGCCTTTAGGTACGAGGCCTTGACATCGCGTCTGACGAGTTCGCGGAAGTGCGCCTCAAAGATCGACCGGTCAGATACGCAGTCCTCAGGGAACGCATTGCGGTAGACAGCAAATTCGGGATTGTCCCACTGCTTGTCTAGCGTTGCTGGAAGGACGTTGACGGCATACGGATACTGGGAACCGAGACATCAGTACGAAATGACAGCGGCGGGACTGTGCCGCCGTGGGAGCATGCGCACAGTGGTCCGGTTCGGAATGAAGAAAAAAACAAAAACCCAATCACCTCCGCGCCATCGGGGGAGAACTCAAGAAACTCATCGGGGGACACGGGGCTTCACAGATTACCCGATGGTACAGGGGGTGTGGTTGGGGTGAGACGACATACCAGCACATCTTTGACGAAGGATATGGGACAAACGGTTCCTTCTGAATGTTTGGAAATCTCGAATCAGTATGGGCAATGTTATCAAGACTGAAATCCACCATACAAAAGAGTAATTCTGGATGCGGTGAGTTTAGCATCAGGTAGGAAGCGCTCACCGATATCGAGCAATACGACACTAATAGCGCCGAAGTTGTGGGCCATTGTCTGAGCTGTCTATAGAGACAACTTGGTATTGTGCGTTGTCGTGACAAGGTGAGAGGCAAGAAGAAGAAGAAAATTCCCGAGGTGACACGTCGAGACGGTGGGACTCGGGTCACGACGCGCGATCAGACCAAATTCTCCCTCTCACTTGCGATTGTCTTTCTCGCTTCAAGAATAGAATCCTTCAGCGGCTTTCGAATTCTGTTTACTACTCTCGTTCAAGCCTTCCGCAGTTCATTGGGATAGGTGAGTTGGCGCTACTTCATGCATGTGGCTGTGACGGTGGGAGATTAGAATAAGGCGGTCAAGCCAGCACCGGAACTCGAGTAGGGCCGGAACGGGATAACGCGGTTGCAGTACGGAGGTATGGCTGCACAGTGCAGGTGAGTGTGTGTGAGAGCCTGAGAGGTGTGTCTGTGACAGTTGGGTTTGCGTGAGGTGTGAGAGTGGAGATGGGCGAATAAGGTTGCAAAGGGCTACACCAACGCAGAGGTGCCATTGGTGACATGGCCCAATAACAGCAGACTGTTAAGCCATTGATTGCAAGGCAAGGACTAGCACTGAAGCAGCGGTGAAGGGAGGAATGAATTGGGCGATATTGCGGCCGGACATGGGCTCGGAGGACGGAAAGAGGGAGCCGGCGGGAGCTGGACGTGAATCCGTCTGGCGGTCTGGTCCATTGTGAGAATTTGACAGGTCACCGATGAACCCGAGAGAAGCGCAGAGAAGGTCGTCATCCGGTCGTCGTACGGCCTCGAACGGCCTCGTATGGGGCCTATGGGCAGCAACGGACCAAGACGATGCGCTCGGGTACCTTGCGTGGAGCACGCCGGGCCTGTTTCCGACTCCTTTCAACGACGCCATAATCAGGTCAGGTCGCCGGCCGATGTAGGACTTGCATTGGATACCTACCTAGGCTGGCGATGGGATTGAGAACCCCATAACTGCCCGAGATCTAGAAGCGGAACTCTATAGTAGATAGGAGAGCCGACAGTAATTAGAACCCAAACAGCACGCCAGAACGGTCCCGAATGTTGCTGGCGATTGGAGCTATCGTAAGCTTTGAAGAAGGCGGACAAGCGCTGCGGTTAATAAGGACCATTGGGCTGAAGTGGCTCATCATTCATTCCCCCTTCCTAATTTGTTCCGGTCCCCTGCCGACGAACCTCCGATACGTGCCGTGGCCTTTTCGTGCAGTCTCATCATTCTTATCCTTGTACCCCCCATCGTGCTTCTCCGAGATACCAATCCTTGTCCATCTATGATCTCGTGGTACGACAATCTCCCTATTTGACGAATACCCAGGCACCCCGAACGCCAATTCGTCGTACTAGAGGGAAATATGCAACAGAAATGCAAGCCAACTTGCCGAACGGGCTAGGAATGGAAAGCACGGTCCATGGATTGGCGTTGACTGACCAGCTACACGACATTTTGGACTCCTTTGCTTCTAGCTCCTAATCTGCACGGTAGCTTGACCTAGAGATTCTTTTGTCCGCATTCGAAGCATGGCAGTTAAACCAGGCTACCGGCAATTGCGCCATGCCGTTCTATGCCCAATGAGCAACGTTTCTCGCTGACACATGATGGTGATGAGCGGATTAGATCAGGGACCAGTGGTGTTGGTTCATGGACATGCGCCATTGAGGACGAGTAGACGAGTACGAATGGCCAGCATCCTGCCCGCCTCCCCAAGGACCCAAGATGTTGTCAATATTACAAGGCGTGACGTTTTGCTCCAAGTTCGATGAGATATTCATCTGCCTTGATTGGCCTAAGAGTCTGAGGGCGGAAATGCATAGCAATCGTGCGCCAGCATCTCCTGGTCCTAGAGTCCAACAGTATGAATCATCGGAAACCTGGAAGCTTGATGGAGAGGAGTGCGGCGCACGGCCATTTCGTGGAATCTGGTTGCCCGTGGGGGCTAAAAAAAAAAAAAATGTCGCGACGAGCGAGGAGGGAGAGAAGATGATGACGACCTCGGAGCGCATGGCCTGAAAAAGTGAACAACTCGTTACGTCTTGATTGACATGCGCGGCATCACGGGCTCTGGCTCTGGCCCGATCTCGCCTCCGTGCACGCAGTAGAAGGCGAGGAACAAGCTTTCCGGCTGGCCACATGAACTTTCGCCGCCGCCTCACGAGTTCAGACGGAGATTTGGTGCCGGTGAAGAAGATGGGGGGGACATGACATAACGGAGCGCAATGCAAAGGTGCCACTGATGACCAGGTAAAGAAGACATCAGGTAGGGTGGTCGAAGCCAAGGAACATACCTCAGGGCTTGGATATCAGACAAATACCTGGGGTGTGACTCCAAGACGTGTCTGATGAAGTGACAGATAATCATTTCATCAAGCTTTGGGGGCATAGTTGACTGAAGCCACCGCATGCTTTCCATCACAAACATAGTATGTCATATCCGGGGGCCATTCCCGCGAAGTTCGCCGCTCGCGGCGGCGGGGTCATTGTCGACGCCGGCGATGATCCGTTGCGATCGCCCGCCTGTTCCGTGTCCAACGCATCCATCTATCTCCCTTTTCGTATTGCGGCTGACCTGTCACAGCAGCCGTTTATTCGTCAGCACCCAATATGTACCCTTTCTGCCAGCCGCGAAGAAGAAAAAAAAAGCATGACACATGCCAAACGCTCTGTCCGTCCCAGAAGGGAGATGGTGGAGGGTGTTATGGTGGTATCTTGCGTTACAAGGCAGTCTGTCGCCTTAGCGAAGTCAGTTGTGTATCATACCAGAGAGGGCGGCAAGACGAGACAGCCATGGAGCCCTCAAACATTAAAGCGAGACACAGGGTAATCAGCTGTTGTTCGCTTGGTAGTGACTTTTCTCAGTCAAGACTGTACTGCCTACCTATGAGTGACTGGCATTTTACAAGCCTCATTACAACGCTGTCATAAGTGTGCAGCGGCATTGAAGCCTTCGTATGTTTGTACGTTTCTCCCGTGCGGAGTGGGGCTCGAATCCCGGTGGGCGGATATTTCTTCACGGTCATTCACTCAGCAGTGAGACCACTATTGCCCGGTCACACGACCAAGTTTGTTGGGGAAACGACTGGGCCGGGGATGTAGAAAGGCGTGCTGGGAGAAGCAGTCGAACACCGAATGCGGCCCCCATTTTCCGTTCGATGTGAGTAATTGTAAAGGAGTCCCTGCTATGGTTGATGCCTTTGCCTGGTTTCCGACACCACCAATAACTCGGTCTGCCAAAAAAACTATAGAGCGATGCTAGGGACGTGTTTCCACACGACAGGAGACCAAGTTTGCGAACCCCGCGATTATTACGTCGTCTAGATGGGAGACACTTGTTTTGAGTGCACACTTGCACATTGCAATTGAGACGAAGGAACTCCGGACACTCCTACGAACCTTTGGTGAGAACCACTTTGGGTTCGCGGGGATGACGAAGAGCGCCGACATCTGAAACACTCTCGAGGAGCGGCCGTGATCGGCATCAGCCAAGGCCCAGCGTCACGGGCGCTAAGTACACATAACAGAGCAAACGTGATCATCATCTCTGAGCCTGTAATAAAGCCTCTTGTGGGTGCCCAGCTTCGAGTGAGGTGGCCTTTGGGGGAGGGTCACATCAGCGCTCAAGGATCGGACAACGGTTTGACGATAGAGCACCCCC